GAGGAGTGGGAGGGAGATAAACTGGTCTTTAATCAGTGAGGGGCCATATGGAGGCGGGCCGAGGTGCCTACTGTAATCCGATACAAGCTCGCGCGCATGACGTGCACGCACGCCGAGACAGGGGACTGAGTGAGCAGTCTTGCTCGCTGCCACAAACCTGGCGGAGATCGGAGGGGAAGGAGCGCACTGCCGGAGCTGCAGGGCGAGGGAACGAGAGAGAGAGAGAGAGAGAGAGAGAGAGAGAGAGAGAGAGAGAGAGAGAGAGAGAGAGAGAGAGAGAGGGGAGCGGAGCGGGCATTGAAGAGCGTGTTTCAGCGAAGAAACGCACAGTTTGCAGGAGGAGAGCGGAGAGGCTGCACGTTTATTTTCTCCTGATCAGTTTTACGCACGCACGCCGGAGCTGCCTCCTCCAAGAGATCTTGTGTTATCGTTTGCGCAAGAACGGACTGCTATCGAAACAGTGTATTAGGAGGATAATCGATGGGAAAATATTTTTTACTTTCCTAATCACGTGTGCTTTTACCAAGTAAATGCTCAGTTGGGAGAGAGAACCAGAGCGAAAGATTTTTGGATATTCTATCGAGACGAAGAGGAAACACATTTTACTTTTTTCAGGTTTTCTTGTCGAACCTAAACGTAATCGGCAAATGCTTCTCATGGTTCCTGTTTTTTTCAACCAGTGATTTCTACTTTTTTTTGTAATTAATGATTTTGTCTGTCAGCGAGGTTTTTATTCCCACGCGCGTTGTGACTGACAGGGGACACGGTGCTGCCGACTGCGCGCACGGCGAAGGATTTTGAGGCTTTGAAGATGTGTTTACAGTAGATATTACGCTGGTATCAGCTCAATTTGCGCAAATAAGTTTAACATTGTTTTTTAAGAAGAAGCACACGTTGACAATTCAATTACAAACAGTAGTGTTTAACCAGGACGATATTCCTGGAGAGCCCGGTGAACGCAACCTGGCGTTTGTGGTGGAAGAAATAAAGAACTGTGGAAAAGGAGAGGAAAAGAAGACTCTGGACTGCAGCGCTGTCTCCGATATACAGACAAAAAACCACAGAGGAGGAGAAGAGGTGTTCTTTCTCCATATCCGAGGGGAAAAGATGGATTTATTCATATGGCTTTGTGGATGTTTACTGGCGGTTGTCTTGCCTTCAGCGGTCAGAGCGGAGGAAGGAGGTGAGTTTGACACTGTTGCTACCCGCTCAGATCACACGTAGGTGTTAAATGGAAGTTAACCCGCATTTTTTTAGAGAACTTTTTCCCAATCCACATCACAAGCATGGAGTCTATGAAACACATTAGATATGTTTCGTTTCGGACAATTGTGGCGTTTCCCCGTCAAACCAGAATGCGTAATGAACGTACAAATTTACACAAAATCGTTACCCGTTTTTTTTTTTTTTACTACGGGTGCAAGCTCAGCCTTCACCTCCGTTCAAATAATGCGTTGATAACAATCGTGCCGAGAGACACTGAAGAGGGAGATGTCCTGCTTTATTCTAACTCTCCAGCATTGACCCATCTCGGTCGATCGGCACCAGAGGTGGAGAGGTCAAAATAAACAACATATAATTCATCGTAAACGAAATCAGTATTTTTTTTTATCCAACAAAACCCTTAATTAATTTACTGACATCTGCGCAATGGTTGATGCTCGATGTCGCCCGTTTCTAACGCGGACAACTTTCCCAAAACGACGTCGTTTCCATCGTCCCACTCCACTGCTGGTTTCACTCCGTCATAAAAACAAGTTTATTGATAACGTTATTGATAACGCTGGGATGTTGTCTTGGCTTGTGTCGTCTTCAAACATATCTTAACATGTTGTTGGTTTTAACTTCAGTTTAATCAACGACTGTTCTAATGACAGCTGTTCAATGATGAAAAATCACGAGTGTTCCAATAATATTCATATCGGGACTAACGTCAGCGCCAGTGGTCTGTAGCTGCTCGGTAGAGTTAAGTGGGTCTTTATCGCGCTTGTTTTTATCTCACTGTGTGATGTAGTCTTATTGCGTTCCTTGAAAGATATTCCCTCGAGGCAGGCTTCGTGCAACAGGGCAACCCTTTTGAATATCATTGTCGGTTGTGCGAAGAAGTGAATCTGACCGGGCTCCTGTCACCGGCGAACCAGACGCGCGGAGGTCCGAGGCTGCGGAGGTCTGGCACTTCCCAAGTCCGTGTGCGCGATTGGGCTCGAAGCTGCATTCTGGCAAGACAAAAGGCGTGTGCTCATTGCGCAGGTCTAATGCGTTTAACGTTGGTCTTTGAATGGGAATTGTGCGTTTAAGAACAATCTTTACGCACAGGGCGAACACTAGAACACTGCTTTTATGCACTCATCTTCTCTGCTGCGCAGAAGGGAGAAGTCTTTCAGTCGTTTTGATTAAAAACAAACCTAACCGTGGCGACTCCTTGTCAGGGCAGCGATACTTAAATGTGCTGTTAACCGACCACAGGTGTGCAGGGAACCAGAACTATTATAAACCAATCGACCTTTAAGAAAAGACAGTAGCCTATGTATAATATTTTGTGGTGTGACTCTCCTTCCTTTCATGGATTTAGAAGCAAACAATCTGTTTAGTCTCTAATGTTTTCTCATAGCTGTCTATGCAACAACGACAAAAAACACTGATAACTTGGCTCAAATCATTTTTTATAATCTCTCCTCAAGGCCCACTTCCTGCTTTGAGATACATTTGTGTGTGTACACAATTTATAACCGAGGGGATTAAGATAGGGCCGCTGTGGAGAAGTTAGTTGCACTCTAGGTTGTATTGATTTAGGGCTTATTCAGGAGGCTAGCCGGGGCTATTTGCAGATCTCATGACTTGGATTGAGTGGCCCGTCTGCCAAATGTTGTTTTTGAGAAAAAGAGAACAGTGGAGGCATTACGTCACACTTCACCTCTGATAAGAAGATATGCGCCGTGCCACTGTTTACATCTTCACATATAATTGATAACTGCTGACACTGTAAAATCGGAAGTGTTTCAAAGGCTTTCTTATCCGGACAAATCACAACTCTTTATTTAATCAACGTCTTGAAATGGCCTTTGTGTACATTTCCTGTCAAAGCAGCAAGTATATGAGTGAGGTTCTATTGAACAGCAAAAATCCAAAGGGACGTTGTGGTGTTCAGAGTTTAACTGTAACACCAGAAACAGGTGTTTCTCTTCCACCTCCATATACCACCAGTCATCATTGCTTTTTTTAACCATGACCAAAATCTTTCCCTGTAACCGAGGAGTTCTGCTTTTAACCATGACTCTGACCAGTTTCCTAAAGATAACCATGTAACTTTACCCCTATGAAACTCTTATATGTGTTGTTTTGTCACTGGCAAACTACCTATTTTGAGGACTTTGATATTTTTTCCTGGGGACTCGATCAAGCTCCCTTTTGAGGTCTCCCCGCTGGCACCCGGCGAGCCACTGGAGCACACACATGCTCAGCAGTAGGCTGTGCAGGATGAAGCTTCCTCAGCAGTAAACTTTTACAGATGCCTCTGCTCCGCTGTCTCCGGAGATATGAGCAAGGAAAGCATAGTGAGACTAAGAAGTGTGTGTGTATATATATATATATATATATATATATATATAGAGAGAGAGAGAGAAAGAGAGGGTGGGGCAGTAGGGAGGGATGGAAGTAAAGGGGAAGGAAGTAGCAGAGACAGAAACAGGCAGAGGGAACGAAACGGAAGAATGATTTTTTAGCCTCGCTGTTTGATCCTGTTTCTTCATTCCGTTTGATCACAGCTGTGCCTGCAAGGGAGATAAACGGACATAATTGGCCACTCAAGACCAGCTGTCTGCCTCTATAGTGTCTCTGCTGAGATATGCTGGATGATGAAACAGGCTCACTGCGATGCACAGTGTGAGAAGCTAGCAGTGGGGTGACTTGCCCACAGGTATGCACTGAGGACTGGTTTATAAGACTGTTTTTAACACTTACAATGTGATTTGAGTCTGAAACAGAGGGGAAGAAATTCCTTGTCCAGTTTCTTTGGGGGGGGGGGAAAGTCAGCACGAGTCAGAACGGACACAGGGCTGCTTTCTCTTGCTTTTAATAATCAGGTCATTGAACTACAACATTGACTTTATAGAATAGACTTTTGCTACTCAATAGGTTGATGTTCACCACCATGTATCCTGACTGAGACCAGGTTTCCTAATGCATTAATTATTTCCTTGCCTGGAGCTATCGCTCCACATCTAACTCCACCAAACCGGTGCTGTGTTGCCCCGTGGGGCCGGCTTGTAATAATTAAATCTTACATTGGTGGAGGTCATAATAAGCTTCAATTGGCCATCAATAAAACAAACCATCCATGTCATTTGTTCACATGGTGGGGTTGTACCCTGTTTTAGCTCACTACATAATGGATTGACTCACTGCCTGTAACACAGTCGTTCTGTGTAATTACTTTGTCTTAGAAAACATTAGTTATTAGCCTGAACTATTAGAGATATATATATATATTTTTTCATTCATTTGAACTTGTTCCTTTCACTGTAATTGTGTGTTTCCATGGGTAATTACTCAGTGCATGTAAAGATCGGCAAGCGTACTTCAGAAAGGCTAGAAATACTGAAATCAGCTCGCCCATACATGTTTGTGTCTGTGTTTCCCAGATTTTCTCATCATTTCCTATGATTGTTTTTTCTAAATCTCTGCCGTATTTATCAGATTTGTTCAAGAATTCGCTGACACAGAAGGCCAGGAAACGCTTTACCAATATGGCTTGCGAACTTCCAACCCAGTAAAGCACATTGAAACAATGGAGCAATAAAAAGAGAGAGCGAGGAGTCATGAGCATTTGGAAGAGCCAAAGAGAGAGGGAAAGGGAGAGAGCATGAGAGGGCATTAGTGAAATAAGACAAAAACAGCAGAGTGTGAAGAAGTAGTTGAGTGGAGCCACCTGCAGTAAACCAACCCAGATTTATTCCTCCCCTCTGTCGAGCACAGGGGGGGTTTCTGGCCAAGATAAAGCATATTATTAGTACATACTCTGATTATAGTTTAGGCAAAAGGCTGTTTTCTAAATGATTGTATTGAGGATGGAATTACATTATAGTTGAAAAGATTATTTGTCATAAAGATGTATATCAGATTCCTCTTCAGCTTCCTCTCGCCTAATACTTTGGAACAGAGGCCATGTTACCGAAACCATACAACAGAGCAGACAGTTTTGTTCACAAAGAGGTCACGACATGTATTCAATAATAGCAACCGGCTCACATTATAACATCAGCAAACTGCGATGGTTCGATTTAAATCTTTTGTTTGTGACAACAGAGTCTGCTAAGCTGTGGCAGGTGACCCGTTGCTGCAGACCTTCTTCAACACTGATTTCATTTGAAGGATCCTGCAGGTAGCAGGTGTTTTACACCAGGTTTCAGGATGAAGGGTTCTCCTTATTCATCTCGTGGTTCAGACGGCTGGGTTTTTCATTTCCTTTTTTTTAAGGAAATTTCCTCAAGAAAATACATTAAAATTAGCTATTCAACTTAAAAAAAAGAAAAGAAGAAATTTGGGAATCAAACGAGAAGACATTAGCCTTCCCATTATTAGAATAATAGTGGTTGAACAACAGAGGGGCCGCTCCACTGGCTACAACATGGTTAGCAGTAAGCGAATAAACATTAAGCAAATTAACCTCCGGCACTGTCTCTCTCTGTCTCTCTCATCTGTAAAAGGGAAAGGACAATTAGTGGGTCCAGCAGGATGTTCTAATTACAGTTATCATGTCATTAGTAAACTGTTAGTATTCTAGTGTCTTCATTGGCCATTGGTAATGACTGGAGTAATTAGAGAGGAAGGGAGCTCAGTGTGTGAGCGAGCGTGTGTTCTTGTTTTTGTACACTTATGAAGAACAAATGTCCTCGGAGGGAAAGACAGATCATGGGCATCCTTCAAATGGGGACATTTGCCTGTCCTCACTTGTTCTAAAACCCGTCACCCACACAAATAAGAGTGTTTGTGCATGTAAGCTAAGCCCTGTGGGTGTCCTCAGTAGTCCCTCCAGAGCAGTGCCGTGCCAGGCCACAGGTTGTTTTCCTCTTTCCCTCTCCCTTCACGCTGAATCATCCCGTTGTTTTCCTCTTTTCATGGCACTTCACCTCTCCTTTAATAGGACGCTCTGTCTCTTTCTCCACACCTCCCCCTGTCAGTGTT